CTGTATTTGGGTTAAGTTTTGAAACTTTTATCTGCATCTATCACTTATTCTTCTTTTAAAATTAAAGGTCTGATTTTGGCACAATTGCTTGACTGCAGAAGCTGGGACTTTAAAAAAAATCCTGAGACTCAAAATCACAAGAATTGGCAACACTGTTATTTAGAAGCAAAACAGGTGGTACACACATCTTTTTACCTCTCTCTGTCCACTCTTTGATTTCCTTTCTTTATATAACATATCAGCTCCACCAAGAGTTGCCTTTTTCTAGAAAAAATTCAGAAGGGAGGACAAGTCATTCATGAAAGGGGTTTCTCCTCCAGGCAGGGTTATATGAATTAATTAGTATAGCTATAATTTGTTTTTCTGTTTTATTCAGTTTTTTTAAACTATTGGAGCACTCAAAGACCTAAGTCAGGATCACAGCCATGTGATAGCGTTGTAAAAATATATAGGAAGACAGTTCATACCTCAAAGAGCTTGCAATCTAATTAGAAACAGGACACAAGTACTGCAGGTACAACTAGCAATAGAGTGAAGACAATGAGGAAGGATGAAAGTAACAGAAATAAGATCATATGGTTTCTGTGATGAGATACAGGGACTCCATCCTACCACAGCCACTACAGGCTAGCTGCCTCTTCAGCTGTTGCTACTTGTTGAGATAAGATGGCTTTGTGAGTGGGAAACAAGGGCAGATGTTAGAGATATTGAGCATTACCAAGAGGCTATTCAGCAGTAGGTTTGTGGGAAGTTTCATAGGGAATTAGACTTCTGCTGAAAGAAGGCTGGAGCTCAGAGGAAGGAGTGGGGCAGGCAGGGGGTTAGGAAATAGTCCAGAGAAGTAGCAAAGGATTGTAAGAAAGGGGTTCTAGCTGCTTAAATACAGGGACTATGTCTAGATTGCCACCTATTGCTCAAGATAATATGTAAATGAGTCAAAACGGTGAATATTGCCATGCCTCATTTGCATACTTAATGAGCCGCCATTTTTGCACAAGGGGCTTTTGCGTAGAAAAGGAGCCTACGCAAAAGCCCCTTGTGCAAAAATGGTGGCTCATTAAGTATGCAAATGAGGCATGGCAATATTCACCGCTTCACTTCATTAGCATATTCTCTTGCACAAGAGGGGGCAGTATAGACGTAGCCCAGGGTCTCTGGACTGGAACTGAGAGCAGCAGATGGGCCTGGGTTCCCTTACCATCCTCCAGACCAAGGCATAGGAAAGTCTCCCTAAGGACAATTGGGCAAGGAATAAAGAGTCTGGGTGGGGCCTAATGGAGGCCTGTGGGCCTTTGGAACTTGTACCTTTATCCCTCTTGGGGTAGCAATAAATGACCCAGCCAGGAGTCTGGAGTTGTGGAAAGAGGCTGACCGTTGCCAAGCCAAGAAACTATCTGGTGTGTTTAACTGAGATGGGTCAGGCCATGAGGGGATGTGCTGGCAGCAGTTACAGAAGTTGTCTGAGGCAGCTCACCTGTACATCATTGCGCTAGCTCAGTGAAAATGGCAGTGTAGCTCTGGTAGCATCCCACTCTGGGGTGGGTAAAGGGTACACTTTTCAGGGCCCTAGTGGCTCTCAGGGGCCTGGCCCAGGCTACATCCCCTAACACAACCAAGAAAAATTTGAGACTAAATTGTAGATCATGCCTGTGGATATTTATAGAAATGTATTTCCCAGTAACGATTGTCAAGAGCTTGTGAGATTTGCTGGAGCCAATCAGAAGCAACGTTAGAGCTGTCTCATGCAAAATTCTGAACAGTGCGTTGCTGGGTCTGTTGACCCAGGTTGGGCCCTTTGTGTGTGCAGTTAAACTGGTGAGTTTGAGACACACACAGAGGGAGATTTAGAGCAAACTTGCAGAGAAATTGGCTTTCGGGGTGTGTGTGTGTGGGGGGGTCTAATTCATGGTTTTGCAATGAAAAAGGACCAGAAAATAAAGCTTGAAAGTTAATTGGCCTAATTAAATTATCTGCTGTCATGTTGGTCCATTAGAATAAAAAAATTAAAAAAAAAAACATGGACAGGATATAATCAGTCTTCCCTGTAAGCTCTGAAGTCACGTGGCCACTCAGGAGAGATTCAAATGCTGCCCAGCTGATTAGCTGAGCACCCACAGCTAGGTTTTGTTTCTAATGATGGTGCACATTCAAATTTTATTCTGTACATGGATGGAAAAGATTAGAGGGAACATTGGAGATAGTAGCTTTATAATGACCAAAAAGTTATAGAAAATAGTGAGGCTCTATTTGAAAACGTCCTGAAAGCCCCTCCCCCAGCCTTGTGGGAGGGACGACTGGACCCATGTCCAACTCATCATGGGGGACAAATAATGATTAAAGGATCAGGAGGTGCAGGTCACAGGTTTAAAATGAGGGATCCGGATGGGGACACTGAGCAGAGGACCCTGGACAGCACCCACTGCTCCTCAAAGCTATCGATGGAGCCAGTGAATGCCACCCAGAGGAACTCTGCCCGGATATGTGAAACCAGGGAGGAATGGAAATAGACCCCACAGTCTCGGAGCACCCCCTCATCCAGCATCCTCCTCCTGGTATTGTAGATAGCAGCTTTTGCTAAGGCCAGGAGGAGGTTGACGAGGAGGACTCGCGACTTTGTGGGGCCATGGATAGGATGTGCATAAATGAAAAGGTGTGGGGAAAAGTGCAGCCAGAACCTCAACAAGAAGTTCTGGAGGAGCTGGAATAGAGGCTGCAACCTGGTGAATTCTAGATATGCATGCGCCAGGTTGTCCTTCACGCCGTAGAAGGGGCAGGTCTCCGGGATAGGGGTGAACCGCGCCAGGTACATGCCTGTGTTACGGCTCCATGCAGGAGCCTCCAACTGATGTCCCCGATGGGCCGCGGGATTAAGGTGGAATATACACTGGCCCATCGGGGTTCCCCACCCTCCACAGGTGTTAGATAGTCCCGCCACTTGCTGTTGGGGCGGGACATGAGAGTGAGGAAATGTAATGTGTGGAGCACGAGCATGTACAGATGGTCTCTTGGTGCGGATTGGAAACAGACAGGCTGCAAATCCTGTAGCTGGTTGGGTGTCCAGGGATGGGGAAGCCAGGGGGGCCTGCAGAACAGGAGGGTTTGCAGGAATGGAGGGGCGGGCTGTACCCTCTCACAGGGACCCCTTCTGGAAATCGAGAGTGGGCTGCGGCAAAGCCGCCTTCACCTCCTGGAGTAGGCGCAGGAGGGTTCGGAGGGTGGAGAGCCCCATGTGCCGAGCGAGCGCCTGGGGATCCATCCAGTCCCCCTGTCATAGTCCAGGAGGTCTCTGACCTTGGTGGTTTCTGCCAGGATCAGCCTCCGGTGCACCGAGGGAGACTCCGCCACCTGCATGCACAAGGCTGGATTGTGGAGCAGGGGCTCTGCGAGAAGATCTGCTCCTTTGGTGGCCACAATGGACCTGGTCACTGAGAACAGCTTCCAGGTCTGGAGGAGTTCCTGGTAGAAATCCAGCAGCTCTGAGAGGTCTCGCGGAAGGCCCCTCGGGTGGATAAAAAAGAGCTGCCGGTGGTATCAGAGCCCTCGGAGGCAGCGGAGGAAGGAGCACGCCAAAGTGCTCCATGCCAGACTACCTGCACTAAAGAGGAGTCTCTGTAGGGCCAGGAGGCGGAAGGTCCAGACCTGGCTGCGCACGCAGACCAGGCCCCGGCCCCCCTCCTCCAGGGGAAGAGACAGAACCCCAGCAGTGACCCAGTGTACTCCTGACCAAAAGAACTCCAGAGCGCTGAGGTGACTAAAATGCACCCTGTCCTCCCATTCCAGCCACCAGCCAGCCTTGACCGCTGGAGTCGTGTGGGTCTCCTGCAGGAAAACCACCAAGTCCCCACCTACCGAAGGAATGAGAGCAGCCAGCTCCTGCAGAGACCTGCCAACAGTCCTGGGCATTTAACGTTGCAAAGATGTACTCATGATGAGGGCTGGGGTGGATCCTCGTGGGCAGGGTGATTGTTGGCTTCCAGCAGGCCCGGCAACAGGCCGCTCCCTGACCCAAAAGCAAGGAGAGCATCACAGAATTTGCAGGTCCACTGGTAGGCCGCGATGTCCTGGCTCTTGGTCCCTCTCCCATCCTGCAAATGGGCCCTCATGGCCCCCAGGATGGAATGGAAATCCCGCCAGTGCTGAAGGGCCAGCTCCATCTTTCCCTGGGCCCCGCGTGTGTCCGCAAGGAATTGGTGGAGCTCAGCCCCCAGCGCTGAGGGGGTGCCGGACTTTTCCTCCATCTGGGCCCCATGATAAGCCTCGCAGGCCATGGAGATGGGCAAATAGGGATCCGGTCCCTGGTGCGGCGCTTACAATGATGGCGCCGCGCTGCCCATCCCCAATTCCGGCGAGGGAGGGGGCGGCAGAAGGAACATGGCAGGCCCGCAGGGAC